CGGGAATTGTGGACTGGTGGAGGGACGGGAAGCACATAAATAGTTCGCTGGACTAACTGCCTATGGGAATCTACTAGTCCTTCTGATTTTTTTACTAGTCTCGACTAATCGGGACCTAGCGTTGTGTCGAACCCTGCTCATACATTACATAATGACACTAGGATGTATAATCATATCCAGTGTTTCCCCTGGTTAAAAGGGTCTGTGAGCTGGTAATTTTTTTTGGTGTGTTTGCATGTTTCAAGGTCCTAGCAAAGCAAGCACATCACGTGCTCGCCCAGCTAGGGGGGTCAGGGGGCATGCCCACCACAGCAGAATATTTTTTTTTTTTTAAATGGTTTGTACATTTGTACTGTCTAGCCTATTCTGAACACAATTGACAGCGTCGCGAGCGCTTTGAGCACTCGCTCCCGCCTCGCAATGCTCGAGTTGAAAAAATATCGCGGAGCGGATGTGAAAGCTAGTGACTCGCAGTTGAGGAGCGAGTAAATAGTTGTCTAGAACTTAATGAAATATGTGGTTCTTACGGTTATATATTCAACGATTGATGACAATACAGTTGTACGCGATTTGCTGAGGGCAGCTATCTCACGACTCCTCACTTATTTATCAATAGGTCTAGCGAAAAGAAAGCAGCCCGCCGAGAGCGTGCAGCGCCAGCATCAGGGGCGTGGGCTGGTATATGTAGCCTGGAAGGGGGATATGAATTGGATGTACGAAGGGGGGGGGGAGTGCAAGATTTGTTTAAAAGTTCATCGTGCGCCTTGGTTGTTAACAAGTCATAAATCGGGTAGCATGAGCGTTCATTGATGGGGCAAAGCGCCTGAGAATAAAGTAGAATTAAATTAAAATGAAAACAGGAATCAAGATCGTGCCTTAGAATTTTTGAGAAAAAGTGTATCAATGATTACATGTGTAGTTAATCAATGAGTTTTTTGTGTTTTTTCACTATTTGGTTTGGACAAGCATTTTTGTTTTAGAAAATTTGGCGCGGAGTACAGATTTCGTCTGGGGCGGTGTCATAGTTATTGACTTCACTCGCCCATTTGGCGACGAGGTGGTTTTTATTTTTAAAGCTCGTATCACTGCATATGTATGAGATTTTCGTGCAGCGCGGCGGTCGGCTGCTGCTGGGCGCTCGAACGCGACTCGCTATGTACGTGCGGTACGATGTTCGTATGTATTTTTGGACACAATTTCGTCGTGGCTGGCTGAGAATTTGAGCGGAGGCGGCATGCTCGCTCGTGTCATTGATTGTGCCAGGGCAACAGCTGAATCAACTTCAAAGTGATTTACACTAGAAACAAGCCATCAGCTCGAGTAAGTCACCACCACGCAGCCTTTATAAAAAACTTGTATCTCTACTGCTTCAATAATGTATCGCGTATTGTATTTACGATTAGAAATAAGGTATGCACTATACCTCTACAATGGACGAATGCTAGATGAAGAGGGTTGTGATGCAACTATAGGCACCGCGGAAGAACGCGGCGAGGACCGGTTACCTGCTCACAATACATCACCAGCTCTTTACTATTCTTTTTTATATACTCGTGCATTGCAGCATTAAATAATTATTAAGGTTTACGAATGACACAGCCAGGACATCCCACATTCTGGCGGAGTTTTTGACTATTTGTCGTCAACATTGCGGTTTTAGGGGCCAACTACTCTCGCTCAAACGAATATTTTCTATCTTCTAATTTACCGACATGTGCCGGTGTTACGACCTGTACGTTTTATGCGCATAAAGACAATTTTTTCGTACCTGATAACATCATGGCGCTTTGTGATTGACAGTCACGACAGTTTGATGTCACCTGTACGTACCTTGCGTAACGATAGTCGTACCATTGGGGCCTATTGTTGTGAGTATGATTGGCTATGTATATGGGTCTCGCGAGTTACATGTTGGATACCTGTTAGTTACTATATCGTTGTTGTGGATGTCAGATAGACACATTGGTTTAGACTTGGTAGCTGTGATTATGTTTATATATGATTAAACTAGTAATATTGTTTATAACTTAGCATATGGTTCTTTTTTTTATGGTATGTGTTTATTTTCTACGTAAATACCATTCAAACATTGAGTTTTCTGCGGGACGCTGCAGGCACACACCATTTTTGACAATTTTTATGCACACCACTTGGTATGGCATATATAGTCAGGTCATATGTATTTTGGGATATCACGTGTATGTTTATTATACTAATCAGAGTGGCTTTTATATTGCCGGCAGCCCAGTATTCTGAGGCTTGCCGGTCGCCTGCTATGTCGTGGTTTCTTTTTATATGGTAATGTTCTACGATGAATTGACTGGGCAGGTTTAATTTGTATGTATGTTTTATGTATGTATGTATTGTTTAATTTTGCTTCTATGATATAGTATTATATAGATATAGTCAATAGGTAGTGTATGCTAGTATGGGTGGAGTTGTTTATGTATGTAATGGTATAGTAGTGTTTTTATGAGTATGTATGGGTATGTATTATGTCATGTATTGTAGTTGTATGTGGTATGGTAGTCTGCTATGTATAGTAGAGTGTGTGTGTGGGGTTATGGTTCAGGTTCAGAATTAGGGTAGTGCGATTAGGTCGAGTTAAGGGTTAGGGTACGGTTAGGGTTTTAGGAACTGCGGATTTAGGAAATCGAACAGAACCGTGCCGGCTGGCCGGACATTATAGCACAGCGGTACTTAATACTATTACTACTACTTTAGTTTCTATCTCTCAGCGCGGGTTTTTTTTGCAAGCCTGCGCGCATCGGGGCCCCGCGGCGGGGTGGTTGTGTGGTGCAGGGACCGGGCGTTGCCGGTGGTCGGCGGCTTGAGGAACGCTCTGCCGCCGCGGCACGGGCGGCGGTGGCGGTCGCGCCTGTGTGTGTGTGTGTGTGTGGGTGTGTAGGGTCGAAACTGGTTGCGAGCATGTAGCACTTTAGGAGCATGGGTGATACTGTATTGTTTACATGTATGTATGCTATGTATGTAGGTGTATGTATTGTATAGTGTTAACTTGTATTATTACTGTTGTATTGTAAGGTGTCATGTAATATAGTAATAGATTGGGAGGGGTATGTATGCTATGGTATTTGATCATCGAGTATTTGAGTAAGACTGTTTCTATGTAATGTATGTATGTAGTTGGTGTATGTATTGTTATGATCATGTGGCTTAATGTTATGTATCGAATACTTGTGGACAGTGTGTGTTTGCACGTGTTCGATGTACTCGTTGCCATTCCTGCAATTAAACACTTGGGCTTGATCAGCTTAAAAATACTGGTTGAGTATCTTTTTAACATCTGACATATAGTGTGCAGTGTTTTATTAAAACACCTCGCTATAGATACAGTGTGTTGTAATTATACTATTACATCTTCAGTTGTTATATTTTGGTAATAAAGATGTTGGTAATTTTGTAACGGGCGAAGGGTAAAAAAAGAATGGCTTTGCGCTTGGATTATGATTACTGCACTTCACATCCGGATGTGTTCTTGATACACGTGGACGAATTATTGGGGCCATAGCCACTCGTTGCATGCTTGTCATGCAGCATACATTCATACCAGATAATATATATTAATATATTGATTATCGAGATGAATACACGTACATTCTATTTGATGATTACATATAACTGCCATTATGATTATACCATGGTATGACAATAATTGTCATGATTCGCGTGAAATAATAATCGATTTTAATCCTATTATTACGCTATCTCAGTCTTATTATTAGAAATCTATTATTATTCACCTTAGTGGATATCATAGATATATGTATATAGGCCTATTAATTACGCGTGGCATCATATATATTACTATGAAATATCTATTCAGGGTACACATATATTACAGGATACTACTTTAATATATATAGTATATATATGTGGCTGTTGTGTGGCTCCCGCACAATGCTCAATGGAAACGTTTGTTTTCATAGAAATTCCTGTCCATAAAAGTTCCAAAAACATGGGGCATACCGGTTTATGGATATGTTCTCACATATGATGTTTTGAAACTTTGTCGGGAGTCTGATGGATATGGGACAAGGATACTGTGTCCTTTCAGGAGATTGTGATGATTGGAACAGTCAACTAAGAATGTTAATTTCATAATAATAATTGCAAACATTGTACGCTTACACAATAGCTGCTGCCTTTCGATAGTATCAAAGCCTTACTACTTCATCACGCTTGCTTAATCACAACACTGGAGCGTTATAAGGGTGCACTCCGGCGGAGTACACCTCATCTAACCAAACGTTGAACTTACATAAATATTTAACAAAGGGCCATTTCGTTCATTGTGTGTTCTTCCTACAGTTGTGTATTTCTCAATTATATTGCCAAAAACGTTTTGATTATGTCACGCATAAGATTGCAGAGTAGACGAGTATACATATGTTTTAGCCGGAAAACGATGATATGTTATTTATTCGAAACATAACATTTAATTGGAGTTGCATGATTAGGATGTTTTGTGGGAGCCATATTTTATGTTGCGGAGTTTTTGTAATAATAATGAAATTTATTTTTCTGGAACACACAATCAAGATGTGTATGTAGCCACGCGCCACGGCACCACGCACCACGGCCGGCCACCTAGGAACTGCCGGGCATTTAGGAAATCGAAGACCGTGCCCGGCTGCCGGGCATATAGCCACAGCGTTTACTAATACTAGTCTATCTCTCAGCGGGTTTTTGCAAAGTGTCAGTGGCGTGCGGTGAGATTGTGTGTTGCAGATGAGCATTGAGCGGTATTTACGGGAAATATTACTAATAATACTGAGGCGAAAGAGAGCAGATAAACATGATAAGACTTCGGTAGCAACTGCAACTTGTGAAGTTGTGTGTTTGCCAGTGTTCGTGTACTCGTCGCACATTCCTGCATTAAACACTTGGCTGATCAGCTAAAAATAACGTTGATATCTTACATCTGACATATAGTTGCATTGTTCTTATTAAAACGATAAGTACAGTGTGTATATACTTACATCTTCAGTTATATTTGGAAAAGATGTTGTTAACGTACGGCGAAAGGAAAACAAAAATGGCTTGCGCTGGATGATTACTCATTCATCCGGGGAGTTTGATCACGTGGACAATTATTGGCCATAGCCCACTCGTCTGCACAGATCTATACCAGATAATAATATTAATAATATATCAGATAATACACGTACATTTATGATATTACATATACACGTGCATATATTATATGTATGACATAATCATGAGTGAATAATAATCGATTTTAATCTATTATACTCTATTTAGTCTATTATAGATAATCTATTATTATTCACTAGTGATATCATGATATTATATAGGCCTATTAATACGCGTGCATATATAATATCTATGGTATCATATATACACGTATATAATTATATATATATATATGTGTGTGTGTGGCTCCCCGCACAATGTCAATGGAACGTTGTTTCATAAAATTTCGCTGTCCATAAAAGTTCCAAAAACATGGGGCATACCGGTATATGATATGTTCCAATATGTTCTGATACTTGTCGGGGTCTATTGGATATGGTGACAAGATACCGTGTCCTTCAGGGAGTGAATGTGAACAGCAAACTAAGAATGTTAATTTCATAATAATAATTGCAGAATTTCACGAAGCTGTGCCTTCGAAGTATCAATGCTTAATTACTACTTCACACCTGCTTAATCCACCACACTGGAGCGTGGTATAAGGTGCACCAGGGAGTAAAACACGGGTTACACCACTAACCAAACGTGCATAATAAAATATTAACAAGTCATTTCGTTCAGTGTGTCTTCCTACAGTGGTATCGCAATTAATTGCCAAAACGTTTATTGCATATAATTCAAGTACAAATACATGTACCAAAAACAGTATATATTTATGAAAAAAACATTATGGATGCAATAGTGTTGGGCGCGCGGTTAAAATAATGAAATTTATTTGTAACACAATACAATGTAATACAATACAATGCTATTATACAACACGAAGAAAAAATACAATACAACAACGACAACCCTCTCTGTACGTACAAGTAAAGTTTATTTTATTTTATTGACAAATACTAATATTAATCTGTGCACAAACAAATGGAATTTACAGGAAATTATTACTAATAATAGCCTAGGCAGAGTAGATAATCTTTGCCAGGCATTGGTAGTACCTATACATACATTTCGTGTTATACGTACCTACAAGGCTACATACAATTATTTTATTATTATTGAAACGTTCCAAGTGCATGTGATACTAGGGGCTACTAGGGGCAACTGCCCACTTACGTCCCCATGCTATTGTTTATATTAAATGTTTACTTTTTATCTATATTTTTATCTATATTCTTATCTATATTATAGTGAATAACTGAATAAGCCACTCACGACCCTGCTCACGACTAACGTAATGGGGGCTGACATGTTGTTTTATTTACTAGAAATATATATAAAACTTAGTTGATTGGTGGTTGTTGTTGTCATTCCTTGTGATTGTCGTCACGGATTATTGAAAAGCTTATTTTTTACTTTCAACACACATTTTGTTCTAAGTTACCGGATTGTATATGGGGGTGTCTATATTCAAGCTGGTACGGGAGATTACAGTGTACGCGCATATATTTGCTAATCGTGCGTCAATATTCACAGAGAGTATGAATTCAAGCCGGTACGAAAGATCATTTGCATAATATATTCTAGACACATGTCTTAGCTATACTCTCTGTGAATATTGAGTTTATTGACGCACGATTAGTGATATACCACCATTACAAATATACATAACCGGGCGAAACTCGTGACGGGATGTTGTAACTCTACGCTGTAGCCACCTATGACCGGTAAAAAGCGGCTGGATTTATACGACCGGGCGTAAACAATTTCACAAGTTATGATAGGTGACAGGTCGGAAACAACAGGTTTTAGGTCACGTGGTAGCGGTGGCTAGATGGGTTTCTCGTCTCTTTGTAAATATAAAGTAGGCAAAGTACAAAGATAGGTAACTTATCTAGATAGACAGATTCAAGATGGCAGCCTCCATTGCTTCTTTTGCTTTATTATGCTAACGTAACTTCTGTTATAATATTCTGTTATATAATATATATATACATCTCACCATCTCACATTCACTGTGTACAGGTCTTGGTTGTCGCGCCCTCGGTTCCAATGATGCCTATACTGAATACATTGACACGAAAAGTTGTGGAAGAAGCATTGGATAAATTAGTGACTTTTCTACCACCCTTGCTGCCAATAGCAAATGTCCAGTTTGTGGACTTTATAGTCAACGATATCTGGAGCAAGTTCACAGACACTCAGCTACAGGCTGAGCTGTTGTCACTAACGGATGATGAGCTCACCGTTTTACCCAATGGAACAATTGATGGTAATTTAGTAATTGAGACTGGCACTGACTAGTTAGGCTGAGAGGGTCTATGTCCCCCAGTGTACTGTCGGAACGTACCCTGGGTACAGTCCGTTAACCGGAACGTACCCTGGTACCAGAGCATATAAATCAACGTGATTTATATGCTCTGCTGGTACTATCTAATATGCCGGACCGTACCTCGCCTACTCCACTAATGAGTCTAGGGAGTCACCTACGCCTACTCCCTAACCCTACCCCTAACCATAGATAGTTACCAGGGTACGGTCCGGTATACCGGAACGTACCCTGGTAACTATCTGATATGGTTATGGTTAGGGAGTAGGCGTAGGCGACTCCCTAGACTCGTTAGTGGAGTAGGCGAGATACGGTCCGGCATATTAGATAGTACCAAGGTACGTTCTGGTATACCGGACCGTACCAGGGTACGTTCCGGCAGTACCCTACAGGCCTCGAATTAAGCGACGAGAGGGGCAAGGCAATTTTTCGGGGCATGTGAGAAATTGCCTTGAATTTTCTCTAAAATGGATGGGCACCGAGGCAATTTTAAAAGGCATCAAGGCAACTCTCACAATTTGAGAAGGGCACCAAGGCCATTGTTATGAAAAACTTTGTGTCATCGTATAAATTCTACTAAAATTTCTCTAAATTTACTGCATAACAAGCTACACACCGTACAGATCACTGGCCATTCTTGCGCGAGCGTCGTTTGAACTCGTTTCCCGCGCTTTAAATCACGCGCGGGCCGAGTCCGGGCGTGCAGCATTTAAATATTCGTGTTCTACCACGGGCATACACAGGTGCACGATTTATCGATCGTCTACTGGCAGCGGTTGGCAGCAATACCACGTTATTGTTTTTACCGAAGGGTAGACTGGTATCCGGCCTCACTCTCTGCTAGACAATGTACACGCTCTGCGATAAACAGTGCGGCCGCGAACGAGTCTAGCCAGAGGCACCGACGGCAATTACAGAAAAGGGCAAGGCAGGTCACTGCCGTCGGTCGGGTTGGATTTTCAGGGGCAGTACGGCGATTGATAGGGGCACCGCCGGCAATTGCCGTCGGTGCCGTCGGTTAATTCGAGCCCTGCCCTGGGTGACATAGACCCTCTCAGCCTTAGTTAGTACTTAGTTTTTATCAACTGTAGAATTAATTGGAAGGTGTATTAGGCCTACTTTTCAACCAGCCCCGCGTTACAACAATCCCAAGAGACCATTCTTGTGACCGTACAACAGCAATGGCAAATGCTTGCTTAGATTCGCAGATCAGCTTAAAGATATTGCATACTATACCTTTTATACAAAACCTATAATATCACTCAACACAATCATATTCATTGTAATGCTTTTATTCTAGACACCAACAGTAAAACGCAAACGATTGTCACAGAATACAAATTACATTACAATATACGAACAAAATATAATCTTTAACGTTTAGAAATACAAATTACTGCTAGTACAAGAATGGTAGGTATCAGCACTATCTAATAGTTCTGACACCTAACCAATGTATGATTGGGTTGAGTATAAATACCAATTTCATACAAAACCTATAATATCACTCAACACAATCATATTAATTGTAATGCTAGTACAAGAACGGTAGGTGTCAGCACTATCTAATAGTTCTGACACCTAACAAATGTATGATTGGGTTGAGTATAAACACCAATATTAATATAATTGTGATGGAAGAATTTATTAATTTGTTTAGTATTCTTATTTGTATCTGTTTACAAAACAGCTGTACTAATAATATTAATGTATTAAATAAAACTACTTATCAATATAAAGTCATTAATTTCACGTTTTCTTGTTACAGGTACACAGTATCCACAGTTACATAAGTGGTGCTCAAGGGCCCGCAGTCACACACTAGAACACCTTGTTATTTGCCCAACAGCTGATGAGTTCCTGCAGGAATTTGGTAGGTTTACTTTAGGTCGACCAGCAGTTGATCAATGCATATCAGGGGCCTTTTATATTCAACCTTCAACTATTGTTTCAATGTTTTATATAATGCTATTTGTAGGTCAATTTAAGCCTAATTTGAATAGTAGATAAATCAGGTGGATGATCTGTATATCTAGATCGAATAGGAATATATCTAGGTGTGGAAAAATGTAAAGAACAGCATACCTGTATTTGACAGCTGCATTTGTAGTTTATCCAATTTCCTCTTTGAAGTTGTCATTATGCTCCCACCTGTTCCAAAAGGATCTTGTATACAACGTATCTATTTGACATGTTGCATTATGCCTGAAATATGAATTTTTAATGAGCGTGAGCAAATTTTTAAGATGTTTTGCCAATAGATATAGCTCTAATAATAATGGCACACCCATATTTCCATCTCGCTCAACTGCTCCATGAATGTGAGTAACATAATATGTTTAATTATTCTAGGCAACAAGACGTCAAATACCAGGTATCGTATAAACAACTTCATGTCAGCGAAAAAGATGCATGAAGTGGAGATTATGTCAGAAGTGATTGCCGTGCTTGCAACAGAACTTCAGACACCTAAGATAATTGATGTTGGTAGTGGAAAGGGCTATCTAGGCTCTTATCTTCATCTTATGCATGGGTTGGATGTGGTTGGACTAGATTCGAGAGATGTTAACACTAATAGCGCATTGAGACGAGCAGGGAAACTGAAAAAGCACTGGCATCACATAATAGGAATTAAGAGAAACCCAGAGCAACAACAGATGGCAGAAAAGTGCCAGGTGAAGTGGAAAAATAACAACACTAAAGGAGGAGGAGGTGGAGTAGAGACAACACTCACTCCAGGTGAGGACAATACAGATCCTGGTTTATATGTAGAGGAGCATGCACCTAATCCTCGCCACAGTAGTGTGAGACAGTGCAGAAGGTCAAATAGCTCGGATAATGCAAACGCATTGCTTACAGAGAATGAAGCAGTTTGCAAAGCTAAAACTGAAAAAGATGAAAATGGATTTTGGCAGTGTTCTAGTCCTGACATAAAAGACAAACCACAGAACATAGATAACACTGTGCTGAGGGCTTCTGTAGCAACGAAAGCTACGAGGGAAACAACACCCAGCGCACCGGCTAATGTTCCTGCTGACACCGCAGCAACAACAGTCATGGAAATGAGTGAAAGTTCTGTTGCTGCTTACACGCCAGTTACGATGCACGTCAGCAATGAAACGTCCCTCGCGAACGTGCTTTCAACGGAGACAGAGACGGGCGGCTACGCGGGACGACTTCTCCTCTGCGGCCTGCACACGTGCGGGCCCCTCGCCGCGACGAGCGTGCGCAAGTTCGCGGACGACTCCTCCGTGCACGCAATCTGCAACGTCGGCTGCTGCTACCATCTACTAACGGACGAGTTTGCGAGCGAGCGCGTCGTTGGCACGGCGACCGAGCGCGGCGTTGCCACGGCGGACGCCGAGCCGACGTTTCCGATGAGCGACTTTCTGCGGCGGCGACGCTTCGTGATTGGTCGCAACGGCCGCATGCTGGCAGCGCAGGCGGTCGAACGACTCAGCGCGGGGCGCGCGATGCCCAGCCCGTCGCTGTTCTACCGCGCCGCCATCGAGGTGATCGCCAACGAGCGTGGCGGAGCGCGGAGTGACCGCCCGCTCGGCCGCCTCTACAGTAAATTCCCCGCCTTCCCGGAGTACGTGCGGGCCGCCGTGCGCAAGATGGAGTTACCCGGTGCGGAACCCAGCGACGACGAATGCGACGCGTACTGGCGACGCTTCACAGAACACCGGCGCCGCCTGGAGGCGTTCTTCCAGTATCGCGTGGTGTTGGCGCCCGTCGTCGAGGCGACGGTGCTGCTGGATCGTGTTTGTTACCTGCTGGAACAGCGGCACGTGGGCGCCGTCAGACTGGTGCGCCTGTTTGAGCAGACGATCTCACCACGATGTTACGCCATTATAGCTGAGCGTCGACAGAGTTGATGGCACACAATTCATCACTCACTTATAAAATAACATATTAATAATACTTTTACTTATTAATAATATATAATAATGGTATAATATTAATATCATTATTATAAGTAGATATGGTCGTCACTTACTTGGATAAGAGGGATTTGCTGACGTTAGAGATATTGACTAGTTAGTAGTCTATAATTTAGCCTTTTGAATTTTGAAACGTGATTGGTTTAATTTATTACGTGCCTTTAGTTTTCCTCCGGTCACTTTTTAGATCTGTTTGGCTTAAATTTCACGTTTTTACAGATATGTGAATTTGTTGCTTTTAGTGAAAATCGACGTTGTTTTGCCAATATAATCAGAGTATGTGAGCAATACTTCGTCACCTTGTCCAAAAAGATTTTCTTTTTATCTAAATGAATACATATAAAAGCTTTTAGAGTTGGTTCAATCCGGCTATGTTGATATGATTTGCAAAATAAATTAAAAAACAAAAAAACAAAAGGTAATTTGATTAAAGGCCCACTACAGTGTATATATTACAAAAAAATCAAATAACTTGCTTTCAAATGTAGATTGACATACGGCATTAATAATTTTATTCAACTAGTAAAGCTACAATTGAACACCCAAAGAACCAATACATCATCTTAAATGTGTACACACACCTGATAGGTGTTTACACAGTTCCACTGAAAAGAGCCGTTTTCTTTTTAGCAAAATGATTAAATGGTATCAGCATAGAAACATTTTGGACACTGATGTTTGAAAATGTAACTGCTAGATGTAACACTAGCTCTAATTCACAATATGCTGTATATTCAAAAACTGCATAAACACGGCAAAACTTCCTTATAATTGCATGAATGTCTTCGCTGTATCTTAACTCTACCTATATTTATTTTAGGGCGGACATGAAGATGTTGATAGTTCAGAGAAGTCTATATAGATAGAAGGCAGTTTATCATACAAATACAAAGTGTACAAGAAAAGTTGCTCACCTCTTGTATCTCACAGCACTCCGATTGCACTAAAAGTGCAATCAACTTTACAATGGCTAATGAGACACAGTCTGAGCTAATTAGGTAGCTGTACAAAAGTCCGAACAAAAGGTAACCAGCCTACTTGCTCCTTAACATATAACAGGAAGACAGAGTCCCTGTATTCTTACTCTGAGCAAAATGCAATCAGTGCAAAAATCTCCACTAAATTACATGCAAAAAAAAATCAATGCAGAACAATAGTTATTATGCGTATATAAGAAGGCTGATATACAAACTTTAAATATGAACGCTGAGCACAAATTCGTTTTAATTTACATATACAGGCGCACGCTCGATTAGTTTGGTTGATAATAGCAAGAGCTCATAATAGAGATTATGAACTATTGATAATATGTTAGTATACAGAGTTCGCATAAGATACCCCCTCATATCTGCCTGATAAGATATCCCCTCATATCTGCCTGATAAGATCACCTGATGAGATATCAGCCTGTCAGCATTTTAAATTACTAAGAATCTCCACAATGTAGTTACCGTCAATTCACATATCAATTGCAGCACTAAACATTGCAAAATCCGAAACTAATGATGAACTAACAAGTCATCGAAGCTGGCTGAACGACAAATAAATCACTATGGAGCATCGTACTTCTTATACCGTGTTTAGGCACAGAAACGAATTCGATTATGGTAGGTTGGCAGCTTTGTGTGTGAACACGTGCACTTTGACAGCCAACAGTGAATCATCGCAGTCTACCAGTTACCAAGTTGAGGACCGACTTCTACAGTAGGCTGCCAGAAATGAGTATATTACAGTGTAGCTAAATTTACAGTTATTCAACGACGGGCTTATCGAGATCAAGCCCTTTATGCAACATATATATGTATATACATATATTATTTAGTAGCAACTCATTTCTACACAGCAAGTTGACCTGTCAGTGACTGTCAGTTCACCTAGTAGTATAGCATCCAACAGAAAGACCTTCCAATTAAGCGAAAAGTTAACATTATCCATGTCAATATCACATTACGAACTACACTCTGTGCGATAATGCGTAGAAAGCCCCAGGGCAGGGCAAATGTAGGCAGGATAACTGGATAACTATCACATTCGCATACTTGGAAAATAATCGACTTCAATCCACGCCTCGTGAGATTGCGCGTAGCACACCGAGTCATTGCAGTCGAGTTCATCGATTGGAGAAGTGAGTTAACTGGGCGATCCTTGTCAGATGCACAACGCAGATATCCGTGGGTGGCAGGGCACCATCTTCAACTATCTATGGAACGACAAGCTGGAAATGTCGATCGCTCTTTCACACACAGAGAAGCCGAAAGCGCAGGACTATAAGCATGTTGAGATCCCACGCTAGCCGTGCTGTCACTCTACTGCAGTCAACCACAGACGTCGCCACACGCTTGCCACCACTAAGCCTAGGATGTAGTCGTCACTTGGATGCGTTGTGAACGTGTCTGCTTTCTACCGAGTCACTTTAGCAATGAGTTCGTCACAGATGTTTGTCAATTCCTGGTTTTCCTTTGTCTGTGGGAGGAAAAATTCGAATGTACGTGTGTGCAGTGCTTAACGGAACTCATACCGAGAGCAGTGGCCCTGCAATCTCACACGTCAAAAACATTAATGAAATGAATCTACGTAGCACTCACGTGAGAATAGAAATAAACTCCCGGGCGATTAAATTAACAACTAAACGATTAATATATGAATGACATGGGTTCTCATTGATATGGAAACGTCATTATTCATCTGCTACAGGCAATGTTGCACGTCGTACCTTTTGCTCGCAGATTCTATCTAGGTTAGCGACCTTCATGTCCGCCCGCTTCAGGCCGGCACGCAACGCAACTAGCTCAGACGCATTGTTCCTCTTTATCGTCTCTATTTCCATCACAGCGCTTGAAATAAATGATCAATAATCAGACCGCTAGCCAGTGAGAGTTGCGGTGACGAGAGCAAGGCGGAAATAGCTGCTGCTTGAAACCGTGGCAAAAAAGCCTCAAGCCATGTAAGCCCGCCGCACACGCTGTGGAACTTGCTGCGCCATCGTCCACGTGGACTGACACGTGGACGATGGCGCAGCAAGTTCCACAGCGTGTGCGCATGCAAAATCCCATTCATATGTCATTCAATTTCCAATTAATCCGTACACGCGTTTGATATTTTCTTCCACGTGTGGAAGATTGAACAGCGTGTGCGAGTGGCTGTGTAAATTTCCACACTCAATTCGCATTGTTCGCTTGGACGCATTGTATTTTTTTCTCAGCTCGCAGCTTGCATATCACAGTGTATATCAGGCAGCTCGCATAGAGGCATGTCCAAGAACTGATCGATCAAACGTCGTGGGAATGCTCACTTCAACGACGCTCCGTGTCCAAGCGAACAATCAAGAACAATGCGAATTGGGTGTGGAAATTTACACAGCCACTCCTTCGCACACGCTGTTCAAGCTTCCACACGTGGAAGAAATGTGTTATTATCTACTCTTGACGACATGAACACACACCTTTCTAGTTTTTCCTCTGCCTTGTTTTTGAGTTCTTGGTACCTATGCTCTTGCTTTTTCAACTTGGCTTGGTACTCCTCTACCATACACTTTAGCGTGTCTTCATTCTGGTAACAGAAAACACAACTGCTATCATTGCTGAACCGCTGTACCTAATGTAGAATTTTATATGGGATTACAGGGATACAAATTAACCTCTGATCAAGGAAGTTCAATGCTTGCTTTCAAAGAGCAGAAGCCAGCAGCAGCATAATGAGGGAGGCACCAGCCCCAAGTTCAACATTAAAGTTAAAAAAAATGCATGCGCGTGTTTTCCATCACCCTTGTGACCCACACACAACATTGCAAGAGCTTCCACTCTCTTTAAACAACAGCCTCAACTTCTCACGTTCAATAGACAATTGCCTTTATTCCTTCCTTAGGTCATCTAAATTTCTTATATCCCTCTCAGTCCCATATACTAAATACCATACTCGGAGAATTAAGGATACATTTAGGGTTAGTAGGTGAAATTCGGTCGAAATTTCAATACCATTTTATTTGATAGATGGCGCCCATGGGGAGCTATGTATACGTAAATATTATGTATGTAGCCTCCCAAACAGTTCAATATCCCCGCATACGCTTACCTTGCATATGCAAACCCCGGAACACCTTTAAATAGTGACGCCATGAGCGCATGCCACCCCAGCATGCGAATCAGAAACGCTGTTACAGCCGATTTCAACTGCTCTTGCTACGCGCGTTTGTGTACATACGAGGCGATTACGCATTAATTAGTGGGCGGCAAACGAGAGATTGAAACAGAACAGTTATTTTGTCTATTTATTTATAACACGAGGACTTTTTTTGAAGTTTGTTGATGTTAAATGGTCACAAATAAGTCGCAGCAAGTACTAACAGTAGCAATTCGACTTTCTTTGGTCAATTCTAATAAACCTCTAATAAATTCTATAAACACAACCGTTCAATCATTGTGCAATGTACAAAATTGCTCATATATCCGTTGTTAGAAATGCCGAAGTTGCTGATTTTTCAAATACTATTTCTCGAAACTCACAACTCCGATTCCAAAAATGTTTGTTACGTTTTAATGTTAACATATTAAAGGAGAAAACGATCCCTGGAATTTTTATGGCGCTTTATTTATGAAATTGTTGAGTTTTTTAAAACATTACAAATTTTCATGCATTTTTTCAACTTATTTCCTAAATTAAAACATTAGAAAAAAATTCCAGGGACCGTTTTTTTAGTTCATAATATGAACAACTTATTGCTAAAAGTTTAGGTCCCAACCCTTTGCCATTTCTGAGAAATAAGAATTTTTGATATATAGGGATGGGAATGACAATTTGTGTTTTCAGCTGAAAATAGCCGCAGTCCAGCAGGGGGGGGGGCGGTCAGGTCCAGAGCAAAGCCTGCCTGGTCAGGGGGTTCAGGAAGTTTTTGAATTTTCACAACTTACAAGGCATAAAATTGCATTAGGAGACACATACAGAACAGAATTGTTACAGAGCTTATTACAGTACACTGCAGGGAGCAGGGCCATAGCTACCATTAGGCAATAGGAGGCAAATGCCTCCTACAAAATTTCTTCTGGGGCCTTAAGCGGGTCCCATACCCCACGCCCTATTGGCTCGCTTCGCTCCTTGTTCTTTAACTCACAACATTTGCCTCCTACAAAATTTACCTCTGGCTATGACCTTGGCCATGCTGGCAGGGAGTATATCTTGCACTGTCATTATCATAACACCAGAATTAATAAACAATACAAAAATTTACTTACATTCTGCAAACAAAATTATTTTAATGTACACTTCCACACTGTCCCAAAGGCTAACCTTTACATAATATAAGATGTTCATTGTCCAGGCAGTTTTAAATTTGTTTCTAGTCACTACAGCAGTACAGTAGATACTTTATCATATTGAACAACTTTAAGCCCGGCGCACACGTGAGTTATTTTACTCAAGTAAAATGACGCATGAGTCAAATTACTCAACGAAAATCCGCCGCACACATGAGTAAAATGACGCATGTGTCAAATTACTCAACTCTTTCGGTAGGCAATAAAATTTGCAATCTAGACACAGCATAAGAGAACCAGAAATTCACGTTACAGCAGCAGCTTAATTACAGTATCACTACCTAGTTCTTAGTGGCGGACGGCATGGCCACCGTAGGCGTGCATAACCTATTCAGACCGCCTAGATAGGCAAGCGCCAAGTCCTCCTGACATAAAATTTCTTCGTGGGGGCCTTACACGCACGGCTGTTGTTTGCCGCGAGTCTCCCACTATAGCCCAAACGATCCGCACACTGGCCTGGACCCTCTTGTACGTTGGAGTGCTCAGCTTCGCTGCTACGCATCCTTTGCTTCGTTTCAGAAACCTACACAGACAACCACTCGTTGCCCGGTACCTACAAACGATTTACCTCTGCTATGCACAACTTCAAGGCACACCACAATCCGCTGGCAAGGAGCGCAGTGATAGTCTTGAGGCGAAGAGTTGGCTGTATGTATCAAATAACACAAGCCAGGGCCGTGTAGTTTGCGTCCAGAAAAATGGAGACTAATAGATTGCGTAAGCACTCAAATTGAACAGCCCAAAATAGTGTTAACCTTGAGTTGCCACATGGGCTCATTGTACAGTACAAACTGCGAGGCAACAAAATTATTTGTTGTACTGATATCAACACACAGCAACGTGTGCGCAGAGCCAAACCTGCGGAGTAATTTCACCTCCAAAGCACGTGTGTGCGTGGAACGGCGAGGTTTTGGTGCGATCTCTATAGGAGCATAGATCAGAGATCACCGAGAGTGTGTCATGCGCGTGGGGGTGTGGCACGTCAGAAAGGAAGGACCCGCGCTCGCGTGTGGGGGCAGTTTTAACATACTTGTAAAACCCGTAGCGTCCGCACTTGCGCAGACCAACCCGCAGCCGTGAGCCAGGGAGCGAGGGTTGCTCGAGGCGTTAGTGGGCGAATAAAGGCGTTGAAACACACGAGCTTGTAAAGACGTCCTCCGATGCGCGTGCGCTAGGCGCGCATGTCGGTGCCGGGCGAGGCGGTCAGACAGGGTGAGCAACTTACCTCTCTTTCCTCATCCCTTCTCTTCCCTCATCTCTCTCCCTCCAATCTTCTCCTCTGGGGAACGGCGACTGGTCTACTAACGAATACGTACGGCATAGTTTGTGCCGCTCTAGATGCTTTTGCATTTGTTTAATTGGCATCCTGCGAAGTCCATGAACGGATAGGGACATGTAGAGAGCGTTGGAGCGAGAGGAGCGCGGAAAGACTGGGTTAGGAGAGAAGCAACGGCAGAAAAAATGACCGCATCGAGTCAAATCTACTCCAACGAAAAGTCCCGGCCGCAAAACCCACATCGAGTAAAAATGCCGCGATGTTGTCAATTACCTCAACCGCATAAATCCGGCCCAAACCGCACCACGTGACGCTAACAAATGGACCACTTCGGCCGTCATGTTATTAGGCTCTAGGTATAAAAATAGAGTCGTAAGTTAGATGAAACTACCCGACCAATTAAAGAAGCGGCAACTGAAGAGTAGGACGCAGCTGTGTGCGCGGCCTGCCAAAGGCAAGTCTGTGAGCCTCAGGCAGTGATCAGACATGAGGAAAGGAACCACGCTTTTATCTGTGCTACGCCAAAGGTTGGCCCAAAAATCCTCACACTTCCGCGGCTACGAGAGTATAATATTCCTAATGAGCCCTGAGAAGCTAGGCGCCGAATCGGCTGCCGACATTAATGTTTTTTATCGTTTTCAAAGGTCACCGGAAAAAGGCAGCTCGCGACAGCCACTTTTATGGTTATGTATACCTAGTGAATTAGAATAAATAAAACGCACACTTCGTTCCGGGTCGAGAAGCATGGAAACAAATTCCGTTAGCGCTTTTACGGGTTTCGCTACCGAGCGTGAGAGAGCGGGTAGCATGAGCTCTGGCCGGGGCTTACTTTAATAAAGACGCAGCCCCAAGGCCACGCGTGGACAGGGAAACATGCGTAAGAGCGAGCGCGTGGCCACACATACACACAGAATCTGGTTTTGAAACCAACTGTGACAGTGTCCAAAATAACACACATACGACTGGCCAACGTCTGACAATCTCAAACAGGTCGAAACTAAGCCGTGTCTATATTGTAAAGCCGACACTTATATTAAAAGAAGGTTATTTAAAGGTTGAAGGTAGCGTTTGGGTGTGGACTGTAAAATACCTGAAAATTTGTACACTCTAGACGTCCGCCCTCAAACC